AGGACAGACAGACACAAAATTACTACAAATTGTGTCTTGATCCACTAGTTCTTATCAGCTCTGAGGTCTGATAGGACAGGTTTTAATGTGGAAAGACTCCAGCACTTCAATCCCACACTAAAATAATTGCATGGAAAAAAGGTACCAGTAACACAAACACAAAAGCATTCAGTGATACCATCTTTAAAAAGTCTTCCAAAGTGTGCAGCATCAACCCCTCAATAAAGTATACAACAACATTTTTTAAAGAAGGTATTAAAAAAAATCTCCAAGACCCCAAAAAACCATAACCAGTGGGGTTTTACTCTCAGTTGTTTAATGCCCTTTCCACACTGCACTTGAGGACGAAGGTATTAAAAAAAATCTCCAAGACCCCAAAAAACCATAACCACTGGGGTTTTACTCTCAGTTGTTTAATGGCCCTTTCCACAGTGCACTTGAGGAACCTGGTATTAAATAGCACAAATTAACTGCTAAACACAAAGAACTCTGCCAGGCTGAAGCCAGGTTAATTCCAGTTCACACTGCTGGGATAATGGCAGCTGCTTTTGCATCCCCAAACCCAACCCCATGCCAAAGCCAGCCCTAAGCTGCAGCTCCCCTGCCCTGCATGCAACAACCTGCACACTCTGCAACACGAAATTAATTAGGCTGCAGGAATGGTAAAGAAACAAGATGTAAAACCTGATCCAACACCTCCTTCAGCCCCACTGCCAAGGATCAGCTCTCCAGGCAGGATTACTTCCCATATAATCTTTTTTTCTCCTTCAACATGTACAGATGCAATGCTGGTTTTGTGCTGATTTTTAAGTTGAAGCGCATTAAAGATATTTGAAGGCAGCAGTTTGCAGCTTAACATAATGGGAGAAGCCAAAGACATTTGGCAGACAATAAAGCAAACTTGCATATTCACAGGCAGTTCCAGGATTGGCTGAAATCAGGGAATAAAGGTCAACATTTTTTGGTTAATTCTATTTAAAGCACCGTGAATTAGAAGATTTGTGCAGCAAGTTCTGCTGCAGAGTATTTTCTATGTGATTAACTGGCAGAACAATCACAGTGGAAACTCTCCCAATATTCCCAGGGCTCCATCCAGCCCACAATCCTGCAGGAGCCACAGCAGCAGAATATTCTAATAAGAACTCTCCTAATCTTCACCCAGCAATAATTTCAAGATGATATTATTATTCTCATTTCCTTGAATAATATCCATACTCCAGGGCCATTTTCCTTCTCATATTCAATATGGGGCATGCTCCTATCAAGATTCCTTTCTTCATATCCTGTCACGGTATCAATCACTGCCTGCTGTCCACTCAATCCACTTTTGATTTATCAGCCGCCGTCTTCCCGGACTCCATAACTCGACCCAAACCATTTTAGCAAGACAGTGACAAATAACACCCAGGATCACATCAACCTGTTCCACTTAGTAAACTAAGGAACAGGAACTGTGACATCCCTCCATAAGTATTCCCCGCTATTCCCCAGCCTGATGTATATTAATGAGGAGCTGCTATTTGAAATGCTCCTTCCACATCAGCATCTAATATGATCAAATTAGGAAATGGGATGATTTATTAAATTCCGTGGAGCTGAAATATTCCTTCCCAGCTCTGGATGCCTGGCTGCAGAGTGGGAGCTGTTGCTTCCAATTTTTCCACGGGAGGATGTGCCCGCGCTTCGCGGACGAATTATTGGCTTTAAAAAGATTGTGAGGAGGCGAAATGTTATTAAGCAAATGCTCAGTAAAACAAACTAAATCGGTTTTAAAATCCCTAATTTAATGTAAATCTTGGTTGTTTCTGCTGAAATTCAGTTTGTGATCTTATTAAGTCGTATTTGCATTGTACTCCCTCACTGTAGGACAGCTTGGAATTTATGGCATTACTGGGAAGCTACACTTTTTGGACTTTAAAAATGCATCTAAAATAGAATAATTATAATATGCACAAGTTTTCTTATCTTCTCAAATAAAACACAACTATTATCAGGAAGCTCCACTTTTTTTAACTCTAAAAATGCATCTAAAATGAAACAGCCAACACACAAGTTTTCTTATCTTTTCAAATAAAACACAACTATTATCAGGAAGCTCCACTTTTTTTAACTCTAAAAATGCATCTAAAATAGTAGAATTATGATATGCATAAGAAGTTTTTTTATCTTATCAAAAAAAGTACAAGCAATACTGGGAAGTCCCACTTTTTTCATCCTTAAAATGCACCTAAAATAATCACAATATGCACAAGTTTTCTTCTCCAATAAAGTATGAGAAATCAGTTTAGGTTGCAAACAACACCTATTTAAAATATCTTACACATATCATTATAAAAATCCAACTTTTGAAAGTAACACTTGATCTAGCTCAGTGTTTTGCACTGCTGGAGATGTGTAAATCACCTGCTCTAATAAAACACCTGTGTTAGAGAAGTTATTAAAAAACACATTACTTTTAACACCACCTTCACTACCTTGAAAAACACATTAAAAGAGGATTGTGGGGAGAAAAGACATTACAGGATACAGAATCTGCATGATTTATAGCAAAAACAATTCCAGGCATTTAAAGAGACCACGTAACAGAGCTTAACTTCCAACAGGAAGGTAATTTTCCAGAGGTAGACTCCTAATAACTAAAATAAAATTTAAAAATGGCATTTGCTGGGCTGCTAAAGGGGATAACCCTCTGAGGGTGCAGCAGGAGGGTGCAAACCCAGGGCTGATCTCCCCTTTCCAGGTGGTCAGCAGCTTTTCCTCCCCTCCTGGCAATGCAGAAGCTGGAGATCCCCAGGAATATTCCCCTGGATAACCCATTCCTCACCACAGGAACACTAGGGGCTCATGAGCTCCTCTGGATCCTTTTATTAATTATTTACGAGTGGTTTCTTCAGGATTTCCTTTGAAAAACCAGAGGAAAATAAGTTGTGCCAGCCAGAACAAATAAAAACCTGGAATTACAGCTGGAATTCGTGAGAATTCCAGGCCAGCACTACAAACACACACATTTTCCAGGACATTGTCACAGCTGCCCCAGGTGGAGCACGGGCAGAGATGGGGAACCCTCAGTCCTGAACCACCTTTTCCCACTGTTTTTATTTTTAGGGTTTTTTTTTCTACCACTCCTCACATTCCCTCTCTCCCCCACAATCTCTTTTCCAGGCTGAGGAATCCTAAACTCCTTGGAAAGCTGGTGAGCCCTGGGTTGAGTGATTTTGAGGCAGAAAAGGGATTATTTGGCATCACTGACAAGCAGGGCAAACACAGGTCTGGAGTAGCAGCTTTGTGCTAAACCAAGATTTAACTCTCCAAAATCAGATTAATCCAGAGCTGCTCAGTGCCACACCACAGCAGACTCAGAAAAAATTACAATAAAGGATGGGATGTGTCCTGCTGGGTTTCACTTTAAGCTTTTGGACTCTTGTGGGATCATTTGGGATGTTATTTAGCAATATTTTCCCCCTGTGGGTGTGAATAGGACCAGCAGTTCAAGGAACATGCAGCTCTACCCCTCCAGTGCTGCACACTCAATACATGAAATGTTTGATACACCAAATATTTAATACATAAAATATCTGGTACATCAACTATTTAACACACAGTATTTCCTAGCAGTAGCCAGGTTTTTCAGATCCTTAGCTGCCTAACTTCCATATATTGTAACCAAGATTAAAATCAAATCCCTTGGAAAAGATGACCACTAAACCACAGCTAGTGAGAGCTGCAATTTGTATTTATTATGTATTATTGTATGACCATTGAATCATAGCTAATGAGGTCTGTAATTTATTACATATTGTTTTATAATAATAAATTTTTAAATCAGTTTATCATACATCCTAACACTGAGCATGTGAAAAGCCTTCTCTTTCACCTCATTCTTCTGACACTTCTGTGGGTTCAAACTGATTTTCTTAGCAAGAAAAAGTGGGTATTCACTGCACAGGAACAGCTGCACAGCTCTGATGGGGAGGATACTCCAAGAGAGGTCAGGCAGTTTAATTTCTGAATTTATTTCTAACTCTAAATAATCAAATTTCTACTACAAAGGCACTGCAGCAATAAAAGGTCCAAGCAACTCTTCCAGTGAACAGCTGGGAATAAGTCATGGCACAGCACAAAGAACAGAAGGGGAATATTCACATCTTTCAACAACAATTTGTCAACATTTAGAGGTAACAGCTCTCCTGGTTTGGGCATGGAAACCAAAGGTTTAACAAATCCTTAGTGCAGGCACACGAAATCACCCGGCTGAAGATTTTAAATATGGACCCAAACAGCATTGATCTGCCTGCTCCAGTCAATAATTAATTTTAAATCAATAGGAAATGCTAATGGGAAACCTGGTAGCCAGGATAAACTTCAGTTAAACCTCTAATTGAAAAATACACACAAGCACAACCTGAGCATCTTTTAATTAAAGAAGAAAAGCAGATTTTATAGTAGCTTTTGCAACTTCTGGTTAAGATTTAAATATTTAAATTGTGAAATATTGGTTAGTCACAAACCAATGCATGCAAACTTTCACTGCAGACAACCTCAAATATTAATAAAAGATTGCATAACTAAAGACTCATCCTTTTCCAAGAGGAACACAGGTGAGAAAAGCAGTTTATTCTGAACTTCAGGGAGCCAGTGTGGGAATTATGGAAAGCAGGAACCAAAGGGAAAAATCCACAAGACATTTCCAAATAATTGTATGACACCAAGAGACCCTATTTATGTTTGTTTGTTTGGGTTTTTTTTTTTTTTTTTTGCTTGAATCAAATGCAAAATAAATATCTTTTCTTCAAAATTGTTTCACCAGGGTAACTGAAAGATTTAGTGTATGACAAGCACTCCAGACCCCAAATCAGGAATTTCCAGGCACGTGTGGCTCAAACCATCCCCTGCAGCCATTCTTCCCATTTATCCCAAGCTCAGTAATGATGGCAGGATTTTCCAGGAATGTTTTTCCAGCAGAAATACCACTGTTGTTTTTTCCTAGGGGAGACTCTTACCTCCTGGTCCTGCTCTTTGACCTGGACCTTTGGGACCTGTAGGATTTGCCTCTGCCCCGGGAACGGCTGCGCTTCCTCCTGGAGCCGTAGGAAGAGCTGCTGCTGGATCTGTGTCTGCGCCTGCAACAGAGCAGGGGTGAGGCTGGCCCTGCCAAAAATCCCAAAACCAGCAACAAACCCCCAGGAGTCCTCAGGAAACACAGCCAGGGGTGAGGCTGGCACTGCCAAAAACCCCAAAACCAGCAACAAACCCCCAGGAGTCCTCAGGAAACACAGCCAGGGGTGAGGCTGGCCCTGCCAAAAACCCCAAAAACGGAGACAAACCCCCAGGAGTGCTCAGAAAACACAGCCAGGGGTGAGGCTGGCCCTGCCAAAAACCCCAAAAACGGAGACAAACCCCCAGGAGTGCTCAGAAAACACAGCCAGGGGTGAGGCTGGCACTGCCAAAAACCCCAAAAACGGAGACAAACCCCCAGGAGTCCTCAGAAAACACAACCAGGGGTGAGGCTGGTACTGCCAAAAACCCCAAAACCAGCAACAAACCCCCAGAGTCCTCAGAAAACACAGCCAGGGGTGAGGCTGGCACTGCTCCCCAAACCCCAAAAAACAGGGACAAATCCCCAGCAATCACTGAAAAAACACAGCCAGGCTGTATATAGCACTGCCCCAAAAAAACCTAAAAACAGGGACAAATCCCCAGGGATTCCTCAGAAAACACAGCCAGGGGAGCATGGCACTGCCCAAAAATCCCAAAAAAAACCAGAGAAAATCGCCCAAGGACTCCTGAGAATACACAGCCAGGGTTGAGACTAGCACTGCTCCCAAACACCCCAAAAAAGAGGGACAAATGCCCAAGGATTCCTGAGAAAACACACACAGACCTGGGGGGTTTATAGGGTGCTCCAGAAGCCTCAAATCCCACTATTCCCCCATAAAAGAAACTCACACACACAGGGACACTGCAGCCCTAAAGAGCTGATCTTCCAAAATCCACACTCCTGATAAAAATGAAGTTTGGGTGGGATCCTTAATTACTGTTAGTAGTAATTAGTTAATCAGGGTTAATTTACTTCATTTGAGTTCATTTAAGGGCAGTTCCCTCCTGAGTCCAGTCAGAAACAGAAGGGTCTCTTCCTTTTCCCCTCCCTCCCAGTTCTGTCTATTCAAAGAATAAATTCTTCTACCAAGGACAACGGTGAAAGAAAAGATATTAAACCCAAAATCCCAATGAAATCCAAATCTTAACACTTCCTCCCCATCTTCCCAGTTGTTAACTAATTAACAATTACAATCCTCCCTATTTTTGGCCTTTATGTGTGATTAGTATAAAATATTATATTATATTATATTATATTATATTATATTATATTATATTATATTATAAACTGTAGATATAAAATATTGTATGTATTATATTCCATATATTATAATATATAATATTTTATATTATATATTTATTATATGTATTGTTTATTATTATTCTACATATAATGCATTTATATTATATATTATACAGACTAATTATATTATATTATATTATATTATATTCAGACTGTATGTATAAAATATGAACAAGAATGGAATTCAGGATGTGCTCAGTGATTATCCAGCATGAGGGAAAGGCACAGCAGGAGCTGGAATGCTGGACAGGATGCAGAGGTTAATGCTGAAGAACAGGGCTGCACCTGGAAAGGGAAGGTGATGCTCCTGCTGGATGAGGGGCAGGAATTCCAGAAGCTGCTGCCTTTGATTCCTGGGGGTCAGGGACAAATCCAGCATGGAGCAGGGCCTGAACTGCCAGGAGCAGATGCCCTGCCCCAGGGGCAAAGGCAGGATCCCAAAAGCAGAGCTCTGGATCATTCCTGGGGACCCTGCAGCCCCTCTGGGTTCCCTGGAGCTGTGCTGGAACAGGATCCAAGGTGCCCAGGGCTGGACTCACAGCCCAGCACCCTGCCCTGGCCCTGGGGAGGATGGAGATCCAGCAGGAGAAAGGGCTGGGAATGAACCCCCCAGCACACCCTGCAGCCTCTCCAGAAAGGCCTGGCAGGAGCATTCCCTCCTGGATTCCCAGGGCAGCTGGACACCAGGAGAGTTCTCCAGCTCCTCCTCCCAGTAAATTCACCAGCACAAGCCAGACTGAGCCAGCCAGGATGGAGCACAGAGCTGCTGCAGGGCTGGAGCCCCTCTGGAGCCAGGCTGGGAGAGGAGAAGCTCCAGGAGAGCTCAGAGCCCTGCCAGGGCCTGAAGGGGCTCCAGGAGAGCTGGAGAGGGACTGGAGACAAGAATGGAGGGACAGGACACAGGGAATGGCTCCCACTGCCAGAGGGCAGCCATGGATGGGAGATTGGGAATTGGGAATTCATGCCTGGGCTGGGATTCCCAGAGCAGCTGTGGCTGCCCCTGGATCCCTGGCAGTGCCCAAGGCCAGGCTGGATGAGCTTGGAGCACCTGGGACAGTGGGACATGTCCCTCTTGGGGAAGAAAGGAAGAGTTATTTTACCTCCTGGGGTTTCCCTGCTTTAAAGCAGAATTTCTCTTTGGATCTGCACATTCCCTGCTCTGTTCTGCTGGGGAGGAGGTGGTGTGGGTACTTCTGGTCATGGTGGTAGGTTTGAGGCTTTATGTTGACAAAGTAAAACAGTTTCACATCTCTTAAGGCTCAGAACAATCTGTGCCATAAAATCCCAACCCGTGGGATCCAAACCCTTCCTGCCTTAACACTAAAGAGCTCAGCTTCCAAAACCTCCCACAAATGCACCTTTTCTCATAGGAATGGGACCAGGACGGGAGATCCCGAGAGCGCGACCTGGACCTGGATTTCCTGCCCGACTTTTTGCGGCTGTAGGCGCGGCTGTCCGAGGAGCTGCTGGAGGAGGAGCGCCGCCGGTGCTTCTTCTTCCTCCTGCTCCTGCCCTCCTCCTCCGTGTCCGAGGAGCGCCGGCCCATCTCCGACCTGCACAGAACGCGGACACCCGCAGCTGTCACAAGGGCTGCTGGCTGCCCTGCCTTGGTTTAGATTTATAAAAAAATCAAAATACGCCCTCTGCTCCTGTCCCTGTTCCTGGGAGCACAGCCCGACCCCCCGGCTGTCCCCTCCTGGCAGGAGCTGTGCAGAGCCACAAGGTTCCCCCTGAGCCTCCTTTTCTCCAGGCTGAGCCCCTTCCCAGCTCCCTCAGTCCGTCCTGGTTCTCCATTCCCTTCCCACCTCCCTCACCCTTCCCAGCTCCCTCAGCCCCTCCTGGGGCTCCATTCCCTTCCCAGCTCCCTCAGCCCCTCCTGGGGCTCCATTCCCTTCCCAGCTCCCTCAGCCCCTCCTGGGGCTCCATTCCCTTCCCAGCTCCCTCAGCCCCTCCTGGGGCTCCATTCCCTTCCCAGCTCCCTCAGCCCCTCCTGGGGCTCCATTCCCTTCCCAGCTCCCTCAGCCCCTCCTGGGGCTCCATTCCCTTCCCAGCTCCCTCAGCCCCTCCTGGTTCTCCATTCCCTTCCCAGCTCCCTCAGCCCCTCCTGGGGCTCCATTCCCTTCCCAGCTCCCTCAGCCCCTCCTGGTTCCCCATTCCCTTCCCAGCTCCCTCAGCCCCTCCTGGTTCTCCATTCCCTTCCCAGCTCCCTCAGCCCCTCCTGGGGCTCCATTCCCTTCCCAGCTCCCTCAGCCCCTCCTGGTTCTCCATTCCCTTCCCAGCTCCCCCAGCCTCTCCTGGGGCTCCATTCCCTTCCCGGCTCCCTCAGCCTCTCCTGGTTCTCCATTCCCTTCCCGGCTCCCTCAGCCCCTCCTGGGGCTCCATTCCCTTCCCAGCTCCAATCCCTTCTGTGCTCCTCCTCCTCCCAGCACAGACGAGTCCATCTCGCTCAATTCCTCCATCCAAACTCCGGCCCATCCTCACACCTCCGGCCACCGGGGCAGCAGCTCCTGATCCACCGGGGAGGGCCTGGAGCAAAGGGAAACTCCCCGTTAAGGACACCGAGACTCCTCCCGAGCGCTGCCGGGAGCCGCAGGGCTCCAGCAGCCCCGTCCCGGAGAGCGGCCGGTTCTGGCACGGCCTCCGCGCCAGGGCAGCCCCGGCAGCGCCGAGCAAAGCGCGGCCCGGCCCGCGAGCACCGCCACCTCCCGGGGCTCCCGGAGCCGCTCCCCGCCACCAGCAGCAGCTCCAGGGACTCCTCCCCCGGGCCCAGCCCTGCGCACCCCGGCGATGCCCGGCACAGCCGGGATCCCCGTGCGGGCTCCGCCGGGGCTCTGCCCCCGCACCGGAGGCCGCGCGGCCGCTGCGCACACCGGGCCCTGCAGCGGCCGCTGACCGCCCTGCCGTGCTCTGGGGGACCGGTGCGGGTGTATCCCGTGTCCCTGTGTCCCCCCGTGTCCCTGTATCCCGCTATGTCCCCCCCCGTGTGCCCCGTACCTGGCGGAGCCGCCGCGGCCCCGGTTCGAGCCCAGCGCCTTCCGGGGCGGCGGGCAGGCAGCGCCAATCCACCGCCGAGCGCGGCCAGGCGGCCACAGCGAGCGCCGAGCCATCGATGCGGCGCGCCGGGAGCGCCCACGCGGGACGGGCGGGGTCGGGCCGGGGTCCCGCTGCCCACGGGGGTGCAGAGCCCCGGGAGCGCTGTCTGCACCGTGCCCGACACGGCCACCCACGGGCGTGACCCGCCGCGGGTGACGCGCAGGAGGGGAGCGTGGGTGGTCCCGGGGTCGGGGTCCCGCCGCCCACGGGGGGCGCAGAGCGCACGGAGCTCTGTCCGCACCGTGCCCCACACGGCGACCAACGCGGCGACCCACGGGCGCACGGCGTGTCCCGGCCGGTCCTTGTCCCGCCGCGGGTGACGGGACCGCGCGGGGACAGCGGCACGGAGCGGTTTTCGTTCCGTCCCGGAGAGTTAAAGGAGAGTCGGGGGTTTATGGCACCGAGAGCCGCCCCGCGGGCGGGGGACAGCGCTCCACGCGCGGCGTGGGCACCGCGGCCGTGCCCGCGGGACGGAGCGCGCCGGGCGCGGGTGGGCACGGACCGAGCCGGGACCCACCGGGCCGGGCGGAGCCTCCGCCGGGCAACGACCAGAAACGCGCCAGAACGACGGAGTCGCTTCGCTTAATTCGATTTTCTTAGCCAATTTGGTTCGTTTAACGCGAGCTCCCGAGAGCGCGCTCCCCCGCCACGGGAACGGCGTGGGGATAAACGAAATGTCGGGGCGGAGGGGCCGGTGAGGGTCACCGGGGCGGAGGGGCCGGTGAGGGTCACCGGGCCGGCCGGCAGCCGCGGCGGGGCCGTCACGCCGAATCCCGCGGTGCCCGGTGCCCCGGGGATCGAAAACGCCCCGCGGGAGCGGCTCCCGGGCACCGGGACTCGCTGCCTGTCGCGACAGAGTCGCGTGTGACCGGCTCGGAACAAACCCCGACGCCACCCCCGGTACCGAACCCGCCCCGGTAAATGAACGCTCCGTTATGTGCAGTCCTCGCCCCAAAGGTCAATGAAAAATCGATACGCAGGCAAGAGTTAAACAATTCTGAATAATTTATTAGAATTTAGCGAAGGTGGGAAAGAGACGCGTTCCCTCGGCAAAAGCGCTCCGCGCTGGGATTTAAAAAAAAAAACAAAGGGGAAACCAATATCGGCGTGTTTGGCTCTCATCTGACGCCGCGTCCCTCGCTGTCACTTGTCCCCTCGGTTTTTTCGGGGCGCCCACGGAGGAACTTTGGCGGCTCGGCCGTGCCCGGGGCTGACCCGACCCACGCGGGGCGGTGCGCGGAGCCTGCGCGGCCCCGCCGCCCCCCCGCGCGTCCCGGTGCGGCCGAGGCGGCCACCCCCAAGCTCAGCGACGGTAACGGCGGCACCGCGGGCTCCCCCTTCTCCCGTCCCCTCTCCCCTTCCTCCCCTTCCCCCGTCGGGGTCGGTAGGCGCGGGGCGGCCCGCGGTCGCGGGTGGCCGGGGGCTGGCGGGGAGGCTGCGGTGATGGGCGGCTGCCCGGGCTCTCTCCCGGCCGCGGGAGATCGGCGGCCGGCCTCGAAGTTTTTAGATTAAAATATTTAAACCCGGATTTAACTTGCTCGGAACGCGATCTTGTTCCCGTTCGGCATCCCACGGGAAGCCGCGCCGCCAACGAAAGCCCGGCCCCGCGGGCCCCTTCGTTCTCCCGCGGCTCCGCGGACTCGCGTGGGGCCGGGCCGCGCTGCCCACGCTCAGATCCAGCAGATCCGCCCGCGGGTGTTCCGCGCGGTACCGCGGGGCCGGCACCGGGGCCGCCCGCCGCTCTCGGGCGCCGCGGGAAGCGGCCGGGCCCGTGCCCGTGGCTGCGGGGACCCGCGGGTCGCTGCCGCCCTTTTGTTCGGACCGGCGGAGCGCCCGGAGCATCCCTGATGGGATGCCCGCAATGAGGCGATCGGCGCGGCGGGGAGCCGCGGCGGGACCGGGCCGTGCCGGCCGGGCGGCCCCGGGGGGTCGGGGCGCGTCCCCGGCCGAGAATTGACCGAGCAGAAACGGATCCCGGGGGGCGCGGGGCGCGGAGGGGCCGCGGCGGCCGGCGGACGCTCCGGGGACCTGTTGCCGCGCATCCCCCGGGGGCGCGGCGGGGCCGGAGGGGAGGGCTCCGTGCGGACCCCGTTTCCCCCGGCAGCGGTTACCGGAGGCAGCGGCGGAGCCCGGAACGGCGGCGGCCGAGGCGGCCTAGCGCGGCCCGGGCNGGCGGGAGCCGGGCGAGCCCCGGTGCCCCCGGCCCCGCCGCTCTGACTGCTGTGTCGTGCCCAGTGTCTCCAGAGCTGAAGGAGCGCAAGGAGGATGCGAAAGCGATGGAAGACGAAGGGCAGACGAAAATCAAGCAGAGGAGGAGCCGGACGAATTTCACCCTGGAGCAGCTGAACGAGCTGGAAAGGCTTTTCGACGAGACCCACTACCCGGACGCGTTCATGCGGGAGGAGCTGAGCCAGCGGCTGGGGCTCTCCGAGGCCAGGGTGCAGGTAGCCGGGGCCGCGTGGGTGCGGGTGCTCGGGGAAGGGGCAGCTCGGGAAGAGCCGGGGAGATGATGGGGACGAGCCCCATCCTTGTGTCGGGGAGAGGAGGCAGCTCCGCAGCTCCCCGGCTCCCAACTTCCACCGGCAAATCTGCCGGCGGCCTCGCAGGGTTTTGCCTGCCCGGGATTTGCGTCCCCGTCCCTTCGTTCTGCCGCGGTTTATCCCAGCTCCGCCGTTGTTCCATCCCTGCCTCGGCAGCCGCTCCCGGCTCATCCGCGGACACGATTCCCGTCATGGATGTCGCGACCGTAAACTGAATTAGACACCGCCAAGGGAAACAATGATAGGTGTATTTTCAGCCCGTTTCGCCTCGTAGTTCTTAAATGTTGAAACGGCACGGAAATGGAGCGAGGTGCTTTGTTGGGGTTTATGAAATACAGAAAGTCCGGGATTAACCCGAGGTATTTTGAGCTTTCTGTCCTCCCGGGAAGCCGCGGCTTCTCTGGCTTTACCCTGCGCTTTGCACCCTCCCAAAGTTTTTCCAAACGGGTCCCTGGGCTGCTTCCTGCGAGTTTGGTCGGGATGAGCTGAGGAGCGGGGAGGAAGGGGATCCCTCAAACGAGAACAAATGTAGCTGCTCCGGTGTATTTCCGTTCTGAAAATAAAAGAAGAGAAAATGATGATCATTATTTGCTGGAACACATGGAGAAGTTTTAGGCCCCGAACATCTGCAGCTGGTGGAAAGTATCGCTGTAACAGATACTCCCCCTCGATCTTTGTGCTCGCAGGCACCATCTGCACCCAAGTATGCGCTCGGTCCTTGGGGGGTTTCCCTGCATCGTGTAGGGTTGTGAGGACAGAGGCAGAGCGGGCACGAGGGACCGAAAAACTCAAAACGAGCAGCTTTTGTCAGAGCCTGAACCAAAAAAAAAAAAAAAAAAAAAATTAAAAAAAAAAAAAAAGTCTTCATTTCCCCCCCCTTCCCCCCCCCCCCCTTTTTTTTTTTTTTTTTTTTTGGTTGCTTTTATTTTATTTTCGTGGCTGCTCCGTTGGTTTTTGGTTGGTTGGTTTTTAATTGTGTTTGTTCGTGGTTTTTTAAATTTATTTTTTATTTCTGTTCACCAAACCCTAACAAAACCAAGGCAAAAAGTTGTTGGCTGTGGAAAATGGAGCAGGGAGGTGCTCGACAAAGGAGGCGGCGGCGGCGCATAATCCGCGCTCCCATGATGCCAAATCGCAGGGTGCATAATAACTTTTGGAGATTTACATAGATTAAACCCATTCCCTAGAAATCCTCCCGGAAAAAAAACCGCTTTTCAATAATATTTTGCCTCGTATCTGCTCTAATTTGTAAATGACGGAAGGCGCGCTTGTTTCCACGGGAGGCTGAGGGCGAACGTGGCTTTTGGGCAGGTTTTCCTTGGCTGGAGAAAATGACAGGGCGGGAGGAATTCCCGTTTATATTCGTTTTTTAAAGTAAGACTAAAAAAAAAAAGAAAATAAATTTTTCTCTTTTTTTAAAATTCTTTTTTTCTGGCGCGGGGAAAGGATTCCTTGGCCGCTGTGGCTGCTGGGATGAGCTGCAGAGCCCTGGGTTAAAACGGGGATGTTTTAAGACCGTCTCTCCCCCTCTCCCTCCCTCCTTTCCCCAAGCCAGCAGAACTTCAGGCTGGGAATTTATTTTAACGATTCCATTTCCAATATTAAAAGTACGTTCTTGTCTAACGGGGCAGCCTCTTCGGTGCAAGCAAATTAGATTATTATGATAATGAGATAATTATTCCGCTTCTGTGCTACACTCCAGTGAACAGGGAAATTCGAAACTTCTTTGTAGCGAAGCTTTTAGGACTGCAATTCTCCTGCAGCCCCCACGAAAAAAAAAAAAAAAAAAAAAGAGAGATATAAAGTCATAAACCCCTGTTGTTGTTGAGTTTTTCTGTAAGATAGAGCTAATTAATTTATTTATTAATGAGCGCGAGCTCCTCGGTCCGTTACCGCCCGTTCGTAGTGGGTATCCAGGGCGATTCCAGCCTTTTGGGAGCCTGGTGCGGAGAGAGGAGCCCGGGGCTGGGGCGATCCTTTCCCTGGGGCTGCCCTTGGCCATTTTCGGGCCGTTCGGACCCTTTTCCTTGCGCCCCTCGGAGCTGGGGAGCGGGGGGAGCGGGGCGCGCCCGCCGCTCTTTGTCTGCGGGGCTTTGGGGCATTTTCCATCGCCCTTATCGCCATCACCGCTGCTCTTCCCCCCGGCCGGCTTTCAAAGCGGCATCGCTCCGCTTTTATCCCCGCAGGTTTGGTTCCAGAACCGCCGG